ATAAATCATCGCTCGAACATCACGCTTGCGTCAGCCTGTTCAGTATTTGGGTTAAGAAAAGTATTCCTTTGCACACACAAAATCATCTTATGCCTTGCTTCCTTCATATCACTGTTTCTATGCGACATGACGAACGTTTTTGTAAAGGAGGGTAAGAAAAGATGGTTGAACAGCGTTAGACATGTTAACTTTATGTACCACACATAATGTATGAATGGCTTCAACAATACTTGAGGGTTAAATGACAAGACCACAGGAAAAGATTCTTATTTCTTACGGGCAGAGATGTTCTCAGTAGATAAAGAGATTCAGCAAAGGAAGTTGGACCTTTTAGACAAATTCATTTATCATAAATCATTCATTTCAACTCACGAATTCTTTACGTGGGAGTCGAAACTCTGCTGCGATTGCCCGGTGGCCAGCCAGAATGCCAGGACTAGGGGAATTATAAAGTTTCAGTATTTCAAAGATCTAATTTCCATTGTTTGTAATAGCTGGAACTATGACATCAGATTCGTTTCAGAGGTTTTAAGAAACAGTCATAAAAGCCAGGAAAACAAAATGTTTCTGCTATCTGTATTGGATGAAATGAGATGAACGACGGAAAAGGTAGAGAGCTTGCGGGTTTCTCGAATAAATTTGTTTCTTCTGTCGTAACGTAACTTAAATGATCTCTCTTAATTTTGGTACCTTCAGCACGTACCCTCGGAGATACAAAATTTGAACATCCAGGATGGCACGCGTTGAAGTATAGCATTGAACTCTCTTTTAATATTCCGCATTGGAACGTAAAGTTGTATCACATAACATGCGGAATGACTTCATTAAATCTGCAGTGCGGCTTCCTGAGCGTCGCAGAATATGGAAAAATGAAAGTTTGTAAAGTTTGGAACGTTGAAATGAATCAGTTGTTTTTTTCCATGAAGTTAATGTTTTGTCGCTGATCTCCATTTCCTTGTTATCCGCCAGAAGTGGTATATTTGCTTTTAAAGAGAGAGCTCACGTCAGCTTTGTGGAAAATATAGTGTGTTCTCTTGTTGCCTTCCCACCGAACGGTACTTATCCACCTCAGAGGAAAGGAAGAAAGGTGAGAGAACAGATTGGTGCTTGATCCAAGGACCTCTCGGTTCTGTCTCTGATGCTCTTCCGACTTAGAAACCGCGTTCTGTTGCACAATCTTGGCAGTCTAAGAGCAGTCATTAAGCAATCACTATTTTAGAAATTTTTTCTCAGTTGAAAACAAAATGAGTTAAACGGGCGCTTGTGCGTGAAGAGATTAAGGTATTTAAAAATTTGGCAAGTGTCCAGTCAGCGATTGCCTGAAGATCCACTTCATAGTGTTTTAAACCCATTCACATGAGATAAATTAGATATTTAACGGTAACCCCGGTTACTAAGAAATTGACTGATGGCTGTTCGATGAAAAAGTGGTCAATGAAATGTCGAGAGGTTCAGATGATGCTGACGGGTGGGAGAGAAGATTTGCTACAGGGTTTGAGAATACTCGATAAATTAATTTCTTCAGCAGAAAATTAGCGCTATTTAAG